ACGCTCTTCTGCAATAAGATACAACGTGTACTTATTCTTGGAAAAGTTTGTCGTCAGGTACAAGTTATACGAGTGTCGCAATTATGGTGCATTAATTGAAAACTTGCTGAAAATATTCGCAGACGAATCATTAATTAAGCAAAACCTTCGATCTTTTTTGCTATTAGAATACGCGCGGATAATGCATATATCCGATAAAACTCGTATTGGATTATTCAGCGGACATTCTAGTGAATATTTTTTTGGTCAAGAACTTGGCCGCCGAATGCCTGATTTAGTCGAAACGTTTTTGCTGTATTTAATGGATCTTATGGCTAAGGTTCTTGTACAATTTCTAGAGCAATTTTATAAAGGTGACGATTATGCACGCGCCATCACTTATATCACAAGAGGTCTGCTAATGAGCTCTACTAATAGGCATTCCTGTGATATGGCGACAATGATTTTAACAGAGAAACACTGGAAAGAATATGATAATTTTATGCAAACTTTTGAATTAATATCGTCCTCTGATCCAACTTTCATCGATTTTCTTTTTAAATGTACTTTTTAAATGTCTAAGCAAAATTGAATTTAATAAGTTTATTAAATTAACGGTTTTTTTGTAAATAATTATTAGATTTTTTATTTGTGACAAATCAGATTTACATGTGTACATTTTCTTTTTATAGTATTTTACAGCGATGACTAGAAGTAATTATGTATGTAAGAAAGTCTGTTTATGTAACATTGACTCTTAAAATACAGATGCGAATATACTTGTCGTTTGAATGCTAAAATTTTATTATTTTTTAATATCTTTTTAATAATATTAATTTTTTTATTAAATGTGTTAATTATGTTTATTAACATAATTATTCATAAATGTAATTATGTTTATCTATAATTATATTTATTCATAAATATTTATATATTTACATATTTATAAATATTTACTTGAATAGACATTAATGTTAAAATAATAAAATTGAAGCGCCGTTTCAAGTTCCCAATGTTTATCATTAAAATTGGTTATAAGATCACCAAATATTAAACCAGCATTTAATACAAAACTGAGCATTTTGGAAGCGGACATTTTAATGGATTTCTTTGTTTTAGAACAAAACTGACACTTTACCATATTATTAAGGATGTATATACTGACTATAAAAATATAAGTAATATAAGTGATTTATATGAATTTTTAAAATAAATCAATAAAATATTCAACACAAATTATTCACTCAAAACAGCCATGAGTTCTTGTAAATCGTGCCAAAGAGTATCCACAGAAATAAAATTTCGAGTATATTTTGGATGATTCTAATCGTATATATAATGTTGTAAAAAATACCACACCATTTCACAATCAACTGGATACTTTACATTCAGTGCAAAGAAAATTTGGAAATATAAGTTCACTGCGCTGACTAGACTCGTTGATTCGTATTTAACATTATTTACAATAACATAAAAAGTTGACATATTTACAATTGAACCAATTGTAATCATCATTGGCTGCAGTGTCAGTCCAAAAGCTCCAAGTTTTTCTTCGTTTTTGAAACTTCCAATTCTGCTATACTCTAAAAGAAAAGAAAATAATAATATTCAATATTCAGATTATTTTTTATGAATAATATAATTTTTCAACAATATATTAGAATTCGCTTACGGGAATTCGACAAATAAAACTTTCTACAACTCCTGTTTGTAGGGTTTCCATTTTTGTTGATTAATTTTGTTAAGATTTTTAAAATGCTTTATTAAGACATGAGAAAATAATGTTACGCAGTTTTATACTCTAACTCTAATGTCTTATAATTCAGTTCTTAAATTCACAAATAGTTAAAAAAATTATCCCATTTTATATAAATCAGCTTACTCAAAAACATATAAAAATGAAAAGAATATTACTGCAAAATTTATATAAAATATATACCTTTCCATAATCTTGATATGAGCTTATCGAAGAACTACTCGCTCTACTCAACGCATCCTCAGATTCATTTCTTTTTAATTTATTTAAGATTTCCTAAAATAATAAAATAATGAATACACATTCGAAGCTACATAATAATTTAATAATTATATCATAAAAAAAATATATGTATGAAAAGAAATTATATATATACCATTACGCAGTTCACACAACGATAAGCACACGTCTTTTTTTGCAGCGAGATCTAATATGAATGGAGTAATTTCCACTTTTTTGGACAACTTTTTTGGAAAAATATATGCATCTCTATTCCTGTTTCTACTTCAAAATCAATTTGTAGCTGCAATAATTGACATAAATATCGTTAAATTAGATAATTATGAATAAATTGCAGAACATTATAATGTTATGTGTAATTACCAGTATGGCACCAATGGAAGTTTTTAAGATGGGATATTTTCATAATAATTAGTAATTGAAGTTCCCCTGCTCCTTGCCTTAAATGTTTCTTTCCAAAGATTTTCGAGATTTGGATCATTCGGTTGAATTGTACACAATTTGAGCAATGCTTTTTGATCAAGAGTATTTTCAATGTTTTTGTTTTCATTTACTTCTTCTCGTTGTTTAATATATTTTTTATTGTACTTGTCCCAAAGTTTACTGCAAGCGAGACGTTTCAATTTTGTATTAGATGGAACATAGTACGTTGCTGCTCCGTAGATATAAGATAATATAAGGATAGTTTTAAGTTATTTAGTGCTGAGGATAAATTTAAGGATAGAATTAAGTTACATGTAAGCAAATGTATGAGAGTTAACCCCAAGGGGAAATAAAACACTACTACTAGTACATTGCTGCACTTTCATATTTAAAAACATTAACTATTGCTGCAGACCATTCTTGAAATGGTTCAGAAGTTATTCTACAATATTAAAATAAAGTTGAATAAATAAATAAAAGAAAACACTATATAAAAATTTTCCATAAGATGTGTTACATACTTTTTAGATTTGCACAGAAGTTTGTCTATTATCAGGTGACAGAGTTTATTACGGTCTGACGAAGTCAATCGTATTTGGCTTAAGATTTGTTTGCCGCAGCTTGATTCGGAGAGTAATTCTCTTACATTCTAAAAGAAAAATAAAAAATAAATAAAAATCTTAAAATTGCTTTAAATTGTTTAACACACTCTTTCATATATGTATAAATCACATAATTGAAAAACTATAATTTTTATAGAGAATTAATTTTATGAACAAATCAATCTATACAATACTTTGATTAATTTTGTTAAGATTTTCAAAATGCTTTATTAAGACATGAGAAAATAATGTTACGCAGTTTTATACTCTAACTCTAATGTCTTATAATTCAGTTCTTAAATTCACAAATAGTTAAAAAAATTATCCCATTTTATATAAATTGGCTTACTCAAAAACATATAAAAATGAAAAGAATATTACTGCAAAATTTATATAAAATATATACCTTTCCATAATCTTGATATGAGCTTATCGAAGAACTACTCGCTCTACTCAACGCATCCTCAGATTCATTTCTTTTTAATTTATTTGGGATTTCCTAAAATAATAAAATAATGAAATAATATTCAGAAATATTTCAATAAATAAAATAAAAAATACAAAATTTATATGTTAAAAAGAAAATATTCAATTCAATTTAACTTAGTAAAATAGAAAAAATAATTTAGTATTTCAAAAGTTTTTTTTAGAATTTTTGAAGTAAATATAAGAATTGTTGAATTGTTTATAAAATATAAAAAATAACAAATACAGTTTTTCTTAATTCTGTAATGTTTTAAAAAATTTATTAATAATCTTACTAAATCTGAATTTTCAGTTTCGCTTTGAAATAATCTTTTTCTATTTTGGAGGAAACGAAACCGTTTTCCAATTGTAGGAATTAATTCCTTTATCATAGCTTCAGGCATATATAAGAATGCTTCTTCATCAATTTGTTCATCTAAACAAGTAAAAATACAACATTATATCATTATGTCTTATATTGATAAAAATAAAATAATAACCTTTAAATTTATCAATGTATTTTGGAAAGAATCTTTATTTGTAGAATAACATCTATTTTACCAACATATATTTTAAGCATTTCTTTTACTATCAATGAAATAAATATATTATATTATATTAATCAATGAAATAAATATATTATATATAATTTGTTATATATACATATATACATGTTATATATAACAAATTTTATATATGTATATACATATATATACAGGGTGTTTTATAATGTCCGTGCCAACGCTCGTGTGCGAATAGAGTGCGGTAAACTGAATAGAAAAGTCCTTTACCGTTTTGCAATTTTCGCAATAGTAATTGAGATATTAATTAAAAGGGATTGACAAATAATCGCGCGTTGCGCGTAGCTAGATCGTGGGCTGTACACTCTAAACGTGACAACAACGAGTATCGCATGGCAACGAAAATAACACGTAGCGAGAGCAGGAGTGATATGCGTTGTTATTTTTCGTTGCCATGCGATTCTCATTGCTGTCACGCTTAGAGCGTACAGCCTACGATCTAGCCGCGATCAACGCGCGATTATTCGTCAATCCCTTTTAATTAATATCTCAATTACTATTGCGAAAATTGCAAAACGGTAAAAGACTTTTCTATTCAGTTTACCGCACTCTATCCGTACACGAGCGTTGGCACGGACATTATAAAACACCTTGTATATATATATTAATAAATACATTTATTCTTGGTGATTACTGCATTTCTATAATTGCATTATATTTATATTGAAGTAGTTTCTGATGTACAAACTGCATTATTTGTTCAGTTCTTTTTATAATTACTTTGTGCATTTACTTAATAACAAATCTTAATTTGCTACCAAGAATCTAAAAATCGCATAATACAATTCTTAGCATTTTAATGCGTTATATTGTAAGTATTCCGGTACATATGATTTACTCATTGTGTCGAGTATTGAGACGCATGCGTCTTCGTACGAAGAAATCGCTTATTTGTGTTTGTTTGGTCCTTCAACTCGACACATTATTAGAGTCCGATTATCCGTCTCGGGTTACATTGCCTGTCATACATCGTCTCTCCGGTATAAATGAAAGTGAAGATGGGCTACATATTTCAATCAGTACTATGTTCACGAAACGCTGATAGAACAGGCATGTTGTTTAATTAAAATTTGCCGGCAGAAGATGTATAAAAGCCTTATCGCGACATATAGACATATAGACATATGTGTGAGTGTGAATAATGCTGACAATTAATTACGGACAAGCAATTGTTGTGAATTGCGTTTAACTCGGTTAGTGACGAAGTAAATGAACAGCTTTTCGTCTTTAGTCATGTTTCGTTTCTCTGTTGTTTAGCTCGTCTCGCTGTTTAAAAACGATAAAAGTGAAAATTAGCAGTATTTGACTTGCGCATTTTAAGTGAAAATTTGTCGAATTTGAAAGTGCAATTTTCAGATTGGTTGGACCTTTGGCAAATAAACGGAAAAACACGGAAAACACGTGTGTATTAGGATTCGCTTAAATATAAATCGTGTTCCGCATATTTTCGCAAAAAGAGATAAAACGAAAATTTGCGAGCAATTATTTACGGAGTATTTTACGGCCTTCCGCTAATCGTCTTTGAAACAAGCGCGATGAATTACGATATCCTTCGCAACTTGCAAATGCCTTATCTGCAGGCGATTCAAAGAATTCCGGGCAACACAGCCAGCAACAAGCTGGAGAGGATCGGAAAATTAGCTTCGAACGAGCCAGTTGACTTTAGAGACTTCGAACTATTGGCTTCTCCAGAATTGCTGCCTTTATTGCAAGTGGAAACCGCTGTGAAAAATAAGCGACACGAGGATATAACATCGGCTCTGATATCCGGCGATTCGACAATCGTGTGTCGAGCTTTAAAAGCTTCTTGGTTTTTTGATGGCAATCACACAATTATCAACGTCGCATACTTTTGCAAACGTATCTTCCCTTTCGTTTCTCTGCGCACGAGAGTTTGTATAGTGAAGACACTTGCACGCCGAATGAAGAATCCGGTGTTCGCGAAGGAAATGTTCACGGCAGTAGCAGCCACTTTCGGTGTTAAAAACGCTTTACCATTAATCGTGGCTTGTGATGAGAATTTCACTCATGAATTTGTAATGCAGAAGATTATGCTGCCCGGCAATATTTTAAAAAAAGTATTTGATAAAAATTTTAAACTCGGAGTTAAGTTTCTTAAATCGTTTATTCTAGATTGCAAACAATACGAAGTTAGCAACACGCTTGTTGATATGAAATATCAACTCGGTATCATTCAAACTTATAGGCCTTTTCTCGTTAAATTAGCGAAAAAGTGTCCAACAGAATTCGTAAATATAGTCGATTCGCTCAACTTTTGTCTAGAAATCGTTTTAAGTAACAAAAGTGCCGATCAATTTCTAAGAAAAGCGCTAAACGCCGTGGCTAAGAAGCCACATTTATACGTACCCATTTTACCTCCTAAAACAATAACCGCGAAACGAATAGAAGTGATATTTCCAAATTTAATGAATCAAAATCGGGAAAATTTTTGTGTTGATAAATTTCTCGGCTACTTAAAAAACTATCCGGAGGATAAAAGGCTCGCGCTGCTGTGTGAAACATATAAGAACATTTATCAATGTGAGCTTCTTCACAATATACAAAATGTGACTCCCACATTATTACAATTATTGCCTACCAAGAAAAGGATTGCAATTGTTAGAAGACTAATGAAGACTACTACTCCTCATAGTGCGATGGATTACGAGAAAGCTTGGCTTTGTTATTTTCCTGTTAAGAGAGTGCGCGTGATTATTACATTTAAAATGCGTCAAGCTTCATCTTGGGAAAGCAGACTTGCTTATATTTTGCAAATGATATATAATTGCAAGGTTAACAAGGACGAAGAAGCGTTATACAATACTTTAACGTACATTATAGACTATGTTAAAAGCAACAATATTAAAATATACGAAAAAATGTTACATCATGTTTCACAAATTTGTGAAATACCACGTTTAAGCGAAAGGAATGGTAACCTTGTTTTTCGCATTATACAATCATTTTACGTAAAATATGGATATGTGGAACCAAAAATACTCGAAGATATGGTGCATTTCAGACTTATTCACAATAGGCCAATCCTGGATCTGATTGAAATGTTACTAGTAACAAATGATTATAAGTCCATAAAATTTAATTTGATCACAGACAATCCACAATACGAGAGGACATGCCTCATAAATTTTTTAAACCTCATTGACGAATATTATATAAATTGGGATGAAGAAGAGGAACAAGAAGAAGAGGAAGAAGAAGAAGAGGAAGAAGAGGAACAAGAAGAAGAGGAAGAAGAAAATCAAGCAGAAGAACAAGAAGAACAGCAGGAGGATGAAAATCAAGCAGAGAAACAAGAAGAACAGCAGGAGGATAAAATAGAAGAAAAAAAAGAAAGGAATGAAAAATCTGAATTGTGTCGGTTTATAATAGCAATGTATTGTTTCAACGATAGATACAAAAATGTATATAGCAAGATAAATCGTTTAACAATTTTAAAACATTATTGGATAATGGATGCTTTTTACTTAATGGAATTGAACGCTCATATACATGTACCGTTTCGGAAAGAAGCATGGAATGCACTGCGTAGGCATGAGCCAGAATTGTATCGCTCTTGGTTGTTGTCAAAAAAATTGACGAATTTGACGATCGCGAATGTAACATCGGGCGAAGCGCTTTGTTTATTGAAGGAAAATTTTCAGAAAGTGCTGGACGATTGGGAAAAATATTTGATAGATTGCCAAAAGAATTATCTTTTAAAACACGTGCAACATTTTGTTAGAGCCACACGTTGGTACAAGGATATTCCTATTAAATTTGCCAAGCGTTGCATAAATGACTTATATACAAGGGATGCAACGAAAATGTCACCTGCCTTGATTATCTTGAGTATTTTACTTCACGGCAATACGATGATAAAACTGATAAATATTAATGATTTTGATGCTACGAATAATCACGCGCTCGAATCTGCTATTAGCTTGAGTATGAAATTTTCCAATCCGCCGGTGCCTCTCAGTCTTGTTGGTAAATTATTCGTTGGAGCCTATCCGTCAACAGCGTTATTGACATTGGCAAATGTAAGCAAGCGATGCTCCATGTCGGAAGTGATGCTGTTCGCCAAAAATGTATCGACTTTTCATGCTGATGTGCAAAAATTCTGGATCAAGTTGATGAACTTAGCCCCAACGCGCGATTTAGTGGATTTTCTCCACAAAATGTGGACGACCGAGCGTGATTCTGCTGTTCGAGTGCATTTATATGATGCGATTCTGAGATTATTTTGCGAAAGACCAGGACTCGACACCTCGTCTCTGTTTCGCGAAGTCAACATGACGTTGACTCTGGAGGACAATGTGCTGCTTGAGAAAATAAACTTGCATCCCAAATCCCGACGTTCCCAATGAATATCTCGAGAGATATTTTAACATATGGTTCGACGCGGTAGGGAATCGTAGTGAGATGGGTTTAGAACTAAACTTTTAACTAAACACATTGATATTTGTTTAACAGAATTTGATCGTTACATTGATGCTTTGTCCGTGGATTATATTGAGAATGTATTTCGAAATTTTTTATTTCACGTTGATGTCGATACATGTCGATCAATGAGACGTTTCGCGATCCCGTATCTTATATCTTCGGCTAATTATCAGACATATCTCAAAGTAATTACCAATATTCTTCCCAAGACAGTAATGAGTCGCTGGAATGTATCTCATCCTCGAATATCACACTTTTCTCTTTTGAATAACACTGTACATTTTTTTTTTCTACGATTTAATTATTTCTTACTTGACATCCAAAAAAGCCTTCTCTGATTCACGAATACTTGACGATTTACTCAACATATTTCCATCGGTTTTATTACCTGTGCAGAATGCAAAATCTTATTTGTTATTAATATATGCAAAAACGCTAGTGAGTTGCAAAGGGATGGAACCATTCATAGAATTTTACTTTGGCCTGAAACTTGGTCGACAAATGCCAATGTTAATTTCTACCTTCTCATCGTATTTAATACCGTTTATTGTCAATGTTCTTCAGTATTTTTTAACAGATATTTCCAAAACTTATATGTTTGCTACAAACAGTATTATATCAGGCCTCATAGATGTTAACAATGTGGATTCAGCTGTTATGGCGACAATGTTGTTATCAACAAAATACTGAAGAATATGACTATTTGCTGGCTAAATTAACTAAAACTTTTCCGGACAACAATATTATCGCAACTATATTAAACAATGATAAGAACAAAAGAGAGATTTAATGATATCATTGAAAATAAATTGACTGATATTAGTTTAGAATTCGCGACAAATGAGTTCGATTTGCCTATATTTTAAAATAGTATACAATGATAATTGATAATTTATATATCTTTTTTTATATAATATTAATGCAGATATAATGGCATATTATTATCAAAAAGTTGAATTATTCTAAAAATTGTATAAATAATATACAATTATTTTATTGAAAATATTAACATTTAATTATAAACAAATATTATTTTAATAAGGTTTAAAATTAAAACATTATAATTATAAATATGTTTTATATTAAAAACTGATTAAAGTAAACTGTGATTTTGTAGAACATTTTAAATTGTAAGTAAATACAGGGTGTTTCAAAATCGACAAAGGCTTTTTGGATCAACTTTTTTTACTAGAATGACTATCCAAACACGCTGGCAACAGCTTCGTGACGGAACACCCTGTATATACAGGGACAAATGTTCAAGTTAAAAAGACATATTTTTTTATCAAAAGAACAATTAAGTAATTTCACTTATTAACCAATTTTATTTGCTGACACAACTTTTTATTATTTTTATTATAATTTTGACAGCAATTATTTTACAGCAATAACTTACAGCAACTATTTACAGAATAAATATACGTTTATAAGTTATATTTGTTATATGTTAGTATTTTTAATAACATAATTGTATCCTTTAAAAAATTAATTTGTTTTGAAACTATATAAAAATATACTTGGGAATAATATACTTTAATAGATTTGAAAGTATTTAAAAACAAATTTATTTTGAAAACTTCATGTAATAATTCAATTCTCAAACCTTTGGTTTGTTTTATTACAAAAAACAATGTAATAAACATAGAATAAGAGTTACATATTAATTATGCGAGATAAATATATATATTTTAATTAAGACAACAATTATATGTACGCAAAAAACTCCGACTTATCATTTATATATATATACATACACATAAATATATATATAAATTTATAAAATAAGATTTTTGTATTTAAATTTAAACGAGGAATCTAAATTTAAATAAATGCATATTCACACAGTATTTAATCATATTTGTCAATGCATTATTTATTATTAATACCTCATTAAGAAATTGCATTAATAATGCGTATGATCATCATTCTGTCGTACATCACTTTCGAGAAGCATAAATCGTGTAAATTAGATATTTCGCAAGATGAAATGGAGATATATTGATATCTTTAACTTAATAGAATTGTACTGTTGTATATAATAATAGTTTTGTATATAATAATAATTGTATATAATAATAGTTTTCTTATATATATGATAAATTAATCGAATTATCATAAAATCTTAAGAAAAGAGTATTGAGTTTTATATTTATATTTAGTTTAAATTTAATAGTGTCAAAATGGACAAGACAAAATTGTTGATAAATGCTCTAATAGACATTATAGTGTAAAGAAAAGAAGCAAAAATAGTGATTATCAATTATTATAGTAACTTATAATACTTTTAAAAAATTATTACATTTATTCTACATTGAAATCTATATAATATTTAGCAACAATAATTTTAAGATTTTTATTTTTACAGCTTATAAATCAAGTGTTGTTGAACATTTTATTTTTAACAATTATCTATTAATTAAATCTACATGATAATTCAAAATAAAAATTTCGGATTTCTTGACTGGATGTCAAAAACATTAAACTAAACAACTACGAAAACGACTTGAGATAGCGTCACTTTCTTCTAATTTGAAACTATTTAACGCAAAAAGCAAATAGAAGAGTTATTTGCAATGTTTATGCAATAAATGAAGGAAATTTATTATTTTTTACGTAAACAGAAAGTTTACATTAAAATATTCTAATAATTATGAATGCATTAATTAAAATATTATTTCTTTTTTTAATTAAAGATATTTTGTACCGATATTCTTGCATGTGCTAATGGATTATCACTTGTACAAAGCCATTGAGTAAACGCACACGTTAAAATATTCAGTGACCTATAATCTTATTTGTGCTAATTATAACCAAGCTGTGGAAAAATACAGAAATTTATTCTTGTTGATTATTGCATTATATATTAGAGTGTCTCTTAACGTGCCATCAAAATTATACATTTGGTTTTTTTCAATTAACATTTCAGTTTAACATTTAAACGCAAAAATTGGTCTCTTATAAAAAAACTAAAATTTGATAAAAAATAAAAAAAAGCTTACTGCACGTATCAACAATATGAATATTTTACATTTTTATGTGATTGAAATAAATCCTTTGTCGAATATCGAATATTAAATAATGTGTGTTTCTTCCAAGTACATGTCACTTCTATGTGATTAACTGTATGGTAGGTTCGTAAACATTGCTATCCGACTATATCGTTAGTTCTTTCCAGAAAGTACAAAAGAACGGAATGTACGTAATTTGATCTCCGTAAAGATTTCTATACAAATAATTACGAAATAGACGCAATTTGAATAAAACTTGCAAGTTAATTGGCAAGAGAAAATGTATAAAAATACAAGCGTATATATCGTGATATGTACATATATACATGTGATATATTAGTGCGTACGTACAAGTAACGTGTAAACGATTCAATAGAAAGGAGCAATTGTTGCAAAACACGTTTTATTTCATTAATGGATTTGTGAACAGTTTTCAGCTTTTCATTGTACATTCTGTGTTGTTTCTATTCCGCGCTTCTCGGAAATTCGGCTTGTCATCAGTGATAATTATCGTGCTTATGAATACATCGATCTTAATTTGACTTTTACTAAACCGAGTAAATCAAATAAGACGTTTTGTTGCATTTTTTCGAACGTATAAACGGTGCAAACGGTTTTGCGCAACATTAAATGAAACAAAAGCAAAGATTTCCAAATTTACAAAGTATTTTTTGTTCCTTTACACAATTGTAGATAAACGGTAATTCTCACCATGAATGAGGACACATTTTGTGATTTCAAAATGTCTTATCTTGAGGCAATACAAAAAATACCAGGTGACACCGCTAGCGAAAAATTCAGATGGATCGGAAAATTAGCTTCGGACGAGCCAAACGCCATTGAAAATCATGAGAAAGTCTCTCCAGAATTATTACCTTTGTTACGAGTAGAAGTCGCTGTGAAACATAAACGACATGAGGATATAACATTGGCTCTGATTTCCAACGTTTCGACAATCGTAAGTCGAGCTCTTAAAGCTGCTTGGTTTTTCGATGGTCGACATGGGATCGTTGACGTTACGTACTTTTGCAAACGAATCTTTCCTTCTGTTTCTCTACATACAAGAAATCGTATAGTGAAAACACTTTCACGCCGAATACAGAATCCAATATTCGCGCAAGAAATGTTTATGGCAGTGGCATCTACTTACAACATTGAAACCGCTTTACCTTTGATCACGATTTGTGATAAGACATTTATTTGTGAAACATTGACACAGATGAATCGTTTACCATCTGTCAAAATTCTCAAAAAACTTTTCTTTAAAAATCGAAATTTGGGACAGTATCTTTTAACATATTTTGCTCATTATTATTTTTTAATAAGAAATGAAACTCAATTTAGAGAATTATTCAAGAAATATAAGTATTTGTTACCTAAAGTAGTGAAGAAAGATCCCACATTTTTAGTGGACATAATAAACATATTTTTACTTAATCAATCACAATTGCTTGTGCTGAGTAACACATGCGCCAAAATATTTTTGAGAAAAGCACTACAATGCGTAATAGAAAATCCAAGATCGTATCATAATATCTTACCAAAAAGAATATTTAACGCAGTATTAGCGAAGAAATTTCCGGATTTAATAAACAGTCCTATGTTGCATAAATTCTATAGCAAAGAAATATTACACGTTTTAACACATCATCCAGAAGACAAAAATTTCGAGCTGTGTCTTGAAACATATAGGAAAGTTTGCAATGGTGAACCTGTCAACATCGAAGATGTAACGCCTTTTGTGTTAAGGGCATTACCCGCCAAGAAAAGAATGCAGCTGGCCAGAGAAAAGATTAACAGTAATTCTCCTCGTGAAGCGATCAACTGCAGCACAGCATGGATTTGCTACTTTCCTGCTAAAAGAGCGACATCAGTTATTAAATTAAAATTAAATCAAACATCAGATTTTGACGATAAATTTCTTTGCATATTGGAAATGATATATGCATGTGAAGTTAACAACGACGACTATGAGTTATACAATACCTTGAAATACATTATAGACAAAAGATACTTGATAAGCGACAATGCTGCGATAGATGAGCAAAGATTAAATATTATTACATTCGTTTCCAAACCAATGTATTTGAGTGAAAGAAGTGGTTTTCTTGTATATGATATGATACAAATGTTCTACGAAAAGTATGGTTATGTGCACCCAAATATACTTTACACTATGATGCTACACAGACTCATTCATCACAATTCAATTGAACATTTGATCGAGATGTTACTAAAAAGCAATGATAAGTATACTATAAACGTTGTGAGCTATGCACCCGTGGAATACTTGCAGTATTACAAACAGTTTATTGTCAGTTTCATAAATATTATTCAGAAAAAATATGCCATCAGCTGGGGAATAAAATTACAACAGGAAGTTGTAACGGAAGAAAGAAGAAAACGACAAAGACAAAAATTTGAAAGAAGAAGAAACCACTCGAGAATGGAACAAGGAGATACGAGAGAAGACAAGCAACACAGACTTCTAGCTTCAATCAATGAAGAAAAATCAAGAAGTAGTAAAATATATCTTTTGTGTTGTTTGATGATAGGAATGTATAATTTGAGAGAGACCAAAATAGAGAAAACGAGAAAAAGACGCAAAATATATGATCCAGAGCTTGTGTCAATTACGAAATATCCTTGGTTTATGAATGCAATATATACAATAATGCGCCTTAAAATAAATTTTCCATCTCAGAGAGTAGCGCGTATTCTCTTACACAAGTTTGAACCAGAATTGTATCGTAGTTGGTTTCTGCCGAGTACGTCGAAGAACATCGAGAATGTTACGTCGGGCGCAGCGCTACGTTTATTGAAGCAAAATTCACAGAGTGTACTGGACAATTGGGAAGAATATTTGATAGACTGCAAAAGGCATTATCGTCACAAACACGTGCAACGTTTCGTCAGAGCCACGCGTTGGTACAAAGATATTCCTGTTAAGTTTGCTGAGCGTTGTATAAGTGATTTATACGGAGAGAATATGAAAGAAATATCATCTGCATTAATTATTTTGAGTCTTTTGCTTGACGGCAATTCACTGGCAAAATTGATAAATCCACTTATACTTGCTCGTTTGGAAACAGCAATGGACAAACACAAGTTTGTGCGCGCCTTACATTTTATAACGAAATTCTCCGATTCGCCGGAATCTCTCTAATTTCTCGGTAAATTGTGCTAAAGTACAAGATCGATCCTCTATGATAATTGATATCATTTACAAAGAAATTGGCAAATGTACAGCGTTTGAAAGCATTGGATCTATTCATAATTTTCCACAAGCGACCTAATAATTCGTTTTACATATTATGGTTTACGAGTATCTCCTAACGCAATAACTTTTATTAACCAATGTAGAAGTTATTCTGTTACATTAGGAAATCTCGTTATTGTATCGTAAAATTATGTTAATATTGATAGCCGGAGACGGAGAACTGCTTCGGAAAAGGGAGCTGTATCGGACCGACATATTTCTTGTAGATTCATAGGAAAATATTTTGAGCATTAGGTGGACACAGTAAAAAATTTGAATATAAATTATATAGAAAATCGAAGATATAAAACAGTACACTCAGGTTTGTTTGCACAGCTCTAAATATATTTTGATAATTCTTTTTCCGAAGATGACATCAACCATATATCTCAACATTTATTATTTAATGCTGATGTTGATTTATCGATGCGATGAGACGTTACGCGACATTGTACTTTTTAAAGTTAGATAGAAACGATAATGCTATGTATTTTAAGCTGATTACCGATATTTTTTTGTACTCGGTGAGAAATGACTGGAATGTATTTTCGCAAAATGCCGTATTTCCTGTTGACAGAAGTCTCGGTCAAATTATGTTAATAATTTTATGTTCCGAACTGTATTAATCCATGTTTGTTATGTATGCCATAAATTGTATTAAATGTTTTGTGACAATGTGGCATTTTGTACGCGTACAATCTGCAATAGTATTTTGCAATGATAATTTTTAGTAATATTTTCTTATACAATATTCATGATTTTATTAGTAATACAAATTTATTTATATAGATGTAAATGTATTTTAATTATACATTAATTCTCATATGTTTGCTCGAAAGATGCAATTATTACAAAATTTTCATTATTACTTTATATCTTTGAGTGTTTTTGTGTGTATATAGTGTAATATATTAATATTTTTTATGCTGAGCGGATTAGAGTTAAGTGGGCGCGATCAGAGACCAGATATGACGATCATTATGGACGTAATACTTTGTGAATCGCGTATTTAATTTAGAAAAATTGACGAATGCATATATAGTTCATATTGATCAATTTCGTTGTACATATATATTTCTATACGCTCAAAAGTTAAGATAGTTTTTAATAAATATTTAAGAAGTTTGCAGAAGCATAAGGAACGTATATAATAAGGATTGCTACATAATTGTATGATGCAAATAAAAGAATAACATATTTGTTTAGATTATTATAGTAAATACATGTATGTAAAAAATCTGCTGATGTAAAGTGATTTAAGCAATAAATTTTTTTCAGCAATTTAAATAAATATCTTGTTGCAAAATATATATATACATAAATTTCAATAAACTATTTATTAATAATGCGTCCTAAAACAAATTGCATAAAGAATATTTAATATTTATCATAGATATTTAATTTAAATAGTATTAATGAATTTAATTGATGTATAATTAAAATTATATACTTGGCTTTTTCAATTATTTATACATTTAAATGTAAAAATTATGCCTTCTAACTAAAAAGTAAATGATAAAAATCTAAAGAAAGCATAAAACTCACTGCACATACTGACAGTACGAATATTTTACATTTTTATGTTATTGAAATAAATGCTATGTTGAATATCGAATATTAAAGAACATGTGTTCCAAGTACATGTCACTTCTATGTGTGATTATTGATTATATGATACGTTCGTAAACACTGCTGTCCGATTATATCGTTAGTTCTTTCCAGAAAATATAAAAGAGCGGAGGTTCCATAATTTGGAGGTCTCCGTAAAGATTTCTATACAGATAATTAAAATAGAAATAGACGCAATTTAAACAAAACTCACAAGTTAATTGGCAAGAAAAAGTGTATAACAAACGTATATATCGCTATATACATATATGCATGTGATATGTCAGTGCGTACATACAAGTAACGTGCAAACGATTCAGCAGAAAGGACGAGAAAGGAGCAGAAAATCGTTGCAAAACGCGTTTTATTTCATTAACGGATTTGTGAACAGTTTTTAGCTTTTTATTGAACATTCTGTGTTGTTTTTATTCCGCTTCTCGAAAATTCGGCTTGTCATCAGTAATAACTATTGTGCTTATGAATACATCGATCTTAATTTGACTTTTACTAGACCGAGTAAGCCAAATAAGACATTTTGTTACATTTCTTCGAAGGTATAAACGGTGCTAACGGTTTTGTGCAACATTAAGTGAAACAAAAGCAAAGATTTCCAAATTTACAAAGTATTTTTTGTTCCTCCACACAATTGTAGATAAACGGTACTTCAAATCATGAATGAGGACATATCTTGTGGTTTCGAAATGCCTTATCTTCAGGCAATACAAAAACTACCAGGTGACACCGCTAGTGAAAAATTCAGATGGATCGGAAAATTAGCTTCGGACGAGCCAAACGCTATTGAAAATCATGAGAAAGTCTCTACAGAATTACTGCCTTTGTTACGAGTAGAAGTTGCTGTGAAACATAAACGACATGAGGATATAACATCAGCTCTGATTTCCAATGTTTCGACAATCGTGAGTCGAGCTCTTAAAGCTTCTTGGTTTTTCGATGGTCGACATGAGAACGTTAACGTTGCGTACTTTTGCAAACAAATCTTTCCTTTCGTTTCTCCATGTACAAGAAATCGTATAGTGAAAACACTTTCACGCCGAATACAGAATCCAGTATTCGCGCAAGAAATGTTTATGGCAGTGACATCTACTTACGATACTGAAATTGCTTTACCTTTGCTTCTGGCTTGTAATGATGTATTTATTTTTCAAACAGTGAACAAGATGAGCATTTTGTTACCCTATAAAATTTTCAAAAAAATTTTTCAGAAGAATCTACGGCTGGGGAAGCTTCTTTTTGAATTTTTTGTTTTTTCTTATCAGAAATTTGTGCCTCAATTAAGAAACGTATTCGATAAATATAGGTATTTTTTACCAAAATTGATGAAAAATTATCCATCAATTTATGTTCGAATAAGCGCCTTCAATTTAGGTAATCCATCACATAAGTATATGTTGAGTAACACATGTGCCAAAAGATTTTTACAAGCAGCACTAGAACACGTAATAAGAAATTTGGAATCGTATTATACTATATTGCCAAAAAAAATATTTAACGCAATATTAGTAAAGAAGTTTCCGTATTTAGTGAACAACCCTTTGTTACATGGGCACTACAGGAATGAACTATTGAACATATTATTAAAGCACCCGGAAGAGAGATATCTCAAGCAACATCTTAAAACATATAGAGACATTTGCAATAATGAACTTGTCGACATAGAAAATGTGACTCCTCACATTTTGAGATTATTACCCGCCGAGAAAAGGATACAGCTGGCCAAAGAAAAGATAAACAGTAAATCTTTTCATGAAATGATGGACTGGAGCAGAGAATGGATTTGCTACCTTCCTGCTAAAAAAGCGACAGCAGTTATGAAATTAAGATTCAATCAAGAATCAGATTTTCGCAATAAACTCAGTTACATATTGAAAATGATGTATGCTTGCGAAGTTAACAACGACGAAAATGAGTTATACAATACCTTGAAATACATTATAGACAAAAAATACATGATAAGCTACGATGTTGAAGCAGATAAGGAAAAGCTATTTAGGATTACAGAATTTTCTAAACCATTATATTTAAGTGAAAGAAATGCTTGTCTTGTATATCATATTATAAAAATGTTCTACGAACAGTATGGTTATGTGGAGCAAGATGTTCTTGACATAATGATACTATACGGACTCGTTAATGACAAATCGATTGAAAATTTGATCGAGATATTACGAAAAACTTTTGATAATCATGTACCTATATCTTTTACACATGGCGCGTTTAGGGATTACCCGCATCATGAAAGACAGTTTCTTGTAACTTTCCTTATTGCTATTGAGCAATTGTATGCCGACAGATGGAGAAAAAACTTACAACAGAAGAGTGGAGAAGTGAAGAAACGGAGAATAGAAAGAAGAAAAACTTTAATCGGAGAAGAAGAATCAAAAAATGGAGAAAAATATGTTTTATATCGATTGGTTGTAGCAATGTATGATTTTAATGAAAAATGCAAAAAATTTGGCCTAGAACATATGTCAATTAAAAACTATCCTTGTCTTATGAATGCAATACGTACAATAATGCACGTTAAAACAAATTTTTCATCTCGGACGATGCGGATTCTGTTGCACAAGTATGAACCAGAATTGTATCGCAGTTGGTTCCTGCCGGATACGTCGAAGAACATCGCGGACGTTACATCCGGCGCAGCACTACGTTTATTGAAGCAAGATTCGCAGAGTGTATTGGACAATTGGGAGGAATATTTGATAGATTGCAAAAGGCATTATCGTCACAAACACGTGCAACGTTTCGTCAGAGCCACACGTTGGTACAAGGATATTCCTATTAAATTTGCTGAGCGTTGCATAAGCGATTTACACGAAGAGGATACGAAAGAAATGCCATCTGCTTTAATTATTTTGAGTTTTTTGCTTGACACCAATTCGCTGACAAAACTGATAAATATGAATTCATTCATATTTCATTTGGCATCAACTATGGAAAAGCACAAGTTTTTTCGCATGTTAGATATCATTAAATTCCACAAACTGCCATTTGTAGGAGGGACGGTATTTGAGTCGCATCTTACACCTTGCACCTTGCACCCTACATATTAGAATAGCTTTTAATAATTAAATAAAATTAAATATTTGATTTTTAAAAATTATTTAAACATAACGCTAGAAATTATAATAACAAACAACTAATAATAATAACAAAACTTTAATTTGTAACAAGAAATCCGAGAAAATCTTGTAAACTGTAGCGCATATTGGTATTATGAATATTTTATAATTTTGCGTAATTTAAATCGATGTGTTTTCTCTTCCAAAACTACTGTTCGGGATTATTGAGAGTTGGACAAGTTTAAGATCAAAAACATTGTCGATTATATTGTTAGTTATTTCTTTAGAAAATGCAGAAGAACAGAGGATACATAATTGAAACGATGCAAAGTTTTACAAATTTGCAAAGTATTTTTTGTTCCTGTACACAATTGTAGATAAACGATACTTCAAACCATGAATGATGACACATCTTCGGGGTTTAAAATGTCTTATCTTGAAGTAATACAAAAAATACTAGGTGAAACCGCTAGCGAAAAATTCAATTGCATTGGAACATTAGCTTCGCGCCAACCAAATGTCATTGAAAATCATGAGAAACTTTATGTCGTTTTCGATTAAATTAACAGAAGTTAATAGGTCATATTGTATCATTTTATCTTTTGTGATAAATACATTTTACATGCGCGCGCTTCGTAATAGTATTACGAAGCGCGCGCATATACAATGATAAATTCTTAATGATGTTAACTTATATGATATTCATATTTTACTTAGAGATACAAATACATATGTATTGTTTTTGATGTATTTTCATTAATTAATACATGTTTAAGAATTTTTTATAAACATAAGCAAACGTATGTAATGAGAATTGCTAATTAATCATAATTGTATAATCGTGTCATTTAATTATATATAATGAAATGTATAACACGCAAATGTTCGAATTCATTATGTAGTGACATGTACACCAAAAACATTTTAGTACAATATCATTTAATAAATTATGTAATAAAAATTTCTCAACAATTTAAATAAAATCGTTGCTGCAAAATGTATAATTTTTCCAATAGATTATTGCAAAATGTCTAATTTTCCCAACAGATTATTCATTATTAATACATCTTCAAGAAATTTACATAAAGAATGTATGTTTATAATAGAAATTTTGTCATATAATATTTTTATTTTCTTTTAAATTTTCAATTGTACAAATTTCGTATTTCATAAAATAAAATTGAGCTTTTTAATACTCTTAAGTTTGTAGAATAACACATAATTTTTTCATGATAAAGTTATCGAATTATTGCAAATTTCTTTTTAATAAATAAGTAAGTATTTATATTTAATTTGTATTTAATAGTATCACAAAATATGAAAAGAAAAAAATTGAAATATAAGAGAAAAAAATTTCAATCACCAAAGTGTGATCCCAATTTGTTTTAAAAATACACATTATTTTATTAAAAGAGATGTCTACGTAACTCGTATTTTTTAAAATGCAAATAGGATTTTAACACATAAACAAATGTATATAAGCGCTAGGGATAATTTATTGTACTAAAAGAATTGAGGAAATGATAATTAGTTATTATGTACAACATTTATACAATTGATACATCAGATGCTCTAAAGTTAATGATTAATTAGAGAAATCTTTTTCTGAGATTTAGAATTTTTTAAATGTTAGCGTTACTTAAATTGATGAATGTTTTCTAGGTGCATTTCTCTCTTCTTTATAGTGGATACTTATTTGTGTTTGTCCGATTTTTGGTAGATTTAAACAGATTGCCGTTCAATTATTTCGTAAATTCTCCAAATAGCATAGGAAAATCAAAAATATATAGTTTTATTAGTTTTTGATTGACGCAGAGTTTGCTGTAAGAATAATTACAAAACGGAAATAATTTGAATAAAATTCGCAATTTAATCAAAACTGGCCAGAGAAAGTATGCAAGCAATATCGTGATAAATATGTCAGTGCATATTTTTAATCTATTAATTAGTGGCGAGCGATTGTTGAAAGTCATGTTTCATTAGATTGACAGAATGAGGGCCCTTCTGCCTTTTATCATTAATATTTTATTGCTCTTGTTTACGCGCCTTTCAGAAACGATAAACGTAAAAAATTGCGCATTCTCATTGAAATTTTTGTGTCCAAGAATTCACCGAAAGCGTCGATTTCAGCATCACCTTCGGTAGATCGAACAAACTAAATAATATATTCATTTGTATTCATTTAATCGTGTAAACAGTTTTGTCTGGTAACGTATGAGGATAAAGTCAAAACTCGCGAGCATTATTCACGGAATATTTCTGATATATTAGTTCACTTAGTTATCTTAAAATTATTTTTTAAACAACGATGAACAATACATCTAACAACTTCAGAATGCCTTATCTGCAGGCGATTCAAAGTGTACCGGGCAATACCGCAAGTGAAAAGCTAAAATGGATCGGGAAATTAGCGTCGCACTGCGAAGATGTCATTGGAAGTCTCGACAAACTTTTTCCAATACTACTGCCTATATTGCAAGTGGAAACTGCAATAAAACGCAAGCGACACAAGGATATTACATCGGCTTTGAAGTCCGACGATTCGACAATCGTGCGTCGAGCTCTTAAAGCTTCTTGGTTTTTCGATGGTGGACATGAGATCGTCGACGTTGAGTACTTTTGCGAACGTATCTTTCCTTTCGTTTCTCTGCATACAAAGACTCGTATAGTAAAGACGCTTGCACGCCGAATGAAAAATCCGGTGTTCGCGCAAAAAATGTTTACGGCAGTCGCATCCGCTTACGACGTTGAAACCGCCTCACCATTGATAATGGCATGCGATCAGGATTTTATCTATAAAACAATCATGAATAAGAAACTCAAACTGTCCATCAAAATTCTGAAAAGAATTTTTCGTAAATATCCAGATTTTGGAATATTTTTGTTCAAAGAATCTATTTATTCCCCGGAATCGTTTGCGTCATGTCACGAACAGATTGATGAAGGAGATCAATACAACATCATTGATAAATACGAGAATTTTATACCTACATTAATTAAGAAAAGACCGTTGAGCTTTATAAAAATGATTGAAGAATTTAGCTTTTGGCCATTAACCTATATGAGTAACAAATGTGCCAAGAAACTTCTAAATGCAGCATATACACAACAGTTTGTGCTACCTCATCTATCTATACTTTGTAATAATATGTCAAAAAAAATAATTGATACGAGAATATTAACAGAGGATATGTTTCGAAAAGAAATGAGACCTTGTACAAAAGAAAATTTCTACTCAGATGGAATGATTTATTACTTAAACAAGTTTCCGGAGGAAAAAAGACTCGACTTGCTCTGTAAGACCTATAATGACATTTTTCAACAAGATTTTCTTGAAGACATCAGTAATGTGTCTGATGAAGTGTTGCAATTATTACCAGTCAAGCAAAGGATTGAATACGCCAGAAGATTCATGAACATTGAGCCCTCTGATGACGCGCTGAACTTCAGGTCAGCTTGGATTTGCTACTTTCCTGTTAAAAAAGCAATATCAGTCATTAAGTTTAGATTTAGTCGAGCTCAACTTTGGGAGGACAAACTTGGTTACCTTTTACAAATGATTTTTACTTGCATAGTTAACAAAGACGACAGTGCGTTAACCTACACTTTGACGTTCGTGAAAGATAAATGTAAGAATATGGACGCTTTAATAATAAAAGAAATAATAGATAATTTTTGCTATATTTATAATGTTTGTAAGTTAAACAAAATAAATGGCTCTCTCCTGTTTGATATTTTACAATTGTATCGCGAAAAGAATGGACATATGGAGGAAGAAATAATCTATTATATGATTAATTTCAGGCTTATTCATAATATGCCAATCGCGGATCTGATTGACATATTGCTATTAGCAAATGAGAATTCTATAAAGTTCAACATACTTACAGATTATCCACAGTATGAGAGAAAGTGCCTTGCAGTTTTCTTAGATGTTATTGAGAAGAAATATTATACCGGCAACTGGCAACAAGAATTACAACTGGAAGTCAGAAAGGAAAAAAAGAAGAAATTAAAGAGACTAGTTGCAAACAAGAAAAAAGAACAAGGAGAAACATCTTTAAACGAGGAGGAGGAAGAATTCGAAGAGGCATTACAAGGAATGGGAAAAAAAACGAAAAAAATCTTTTTGTACCAGTTGATTGTGGCAATGTACGATTTCAATTTAAAATGCAAAAAAATGGGTATAGATGAAGAATTAATGACAATTAAAGATTATCCTTGGCTAATGAATGCTATTCGCGTAATAATGCGCAAGACAGATTTTATTTTGCAAAAGAAGATGCATATTCTGTTGTATAAGTATGAACCAGAATTGTATCGCAGTTGGTTCCTGTCGACTACGTCGAAGAACATCGCTGACGTAACATCGGGCGCAGCGCTTCTTCTACTGAAGAAGGATTTTCAGAGTGTACTGAACAATTGGGAAGAATATTTGTCGGATTGCAAAATACATTATTATCACAAGAACGTGCAACGTTTTGTCAGAGCTACTCGTTGGTACAAGGATATTCCTGTTAAATTTGCCGAGCGTTGTATAGAAGATTTACATGGGAAAGACGAAAGGGAAATGTCGTCTGCTTTGATTATCCTCAGCCTTTTGCTCCAAGATAATTCACTGGAAAAACTGATTTGTCCATTTATCCCCGCTGTAGAAACAGTAATGAACAGTTACAGACTCGTGCGTGGTTTAGATTTTGCTATGAGGTTCTCCAATCCGTCGTTGCCTCTTAAACCCATCGGTGAATTGTGCAAAGGAAATCATCTATCGATAGTGCTAATGACATTAACGAGTGTAATCAGGCGATCCTCTTCAAAGGAAGTGATGTCATTTGCGACAGAAGTGGAAAGCCTGAACGTCAATGTTCAAAAACATTGGATCAAGCTGATGTATTCAACAGCATCCATACATGATTTAACGATTTTTCTTTACAAGGTGTGGCAGACTGAAAAGCATCATTCAATACGAAAACTTTTATTTATAATGATCCAGAAATTATTCCGTACGAAACCACACCCGAAAACCTTTTCTCTATGTCACACAATCATGTCAACGTTGACGGTCGAAGACGAAAAACTGCTACGCATGGAGGAACTGTCACCCGATTTTATTCCCGACAAGTACTTCGTGGTATATTATGACCAGTGGTTCAAAACAATAGAAAATCTGAGTGCAAGTGGTCTGAAAACTGAGATTGTAAAACAGCACATTGAGATTGGTTTGGCACATCTCCTTTTATACATAGACAACCCTTTGTCCAGAGATGACATCAACGAGATTTTCCTAATGTTATTATTTTGCAATAATATTACTATATCTAAAGCAACGTGCCATTTCCTGGTATGGTTCTGTTTAAACTTTTATGACTATGCGTACTTTAACTTAATCGACGATATTTTTTCGTTCTATGTGAAGAAGAACCGCTACAAGTTTCATCATAACAATGCAGATTTTTATCTAACGAATCTCGTCGTACATCGATTTGTGAACGAATTTATCATTAGCTACGTCAAGTTGCGCGACAATAAATATTATGATGTGCAACTCATCCACCAAACATATGAGGCATATTTATCGGTGCTGTCACCCGCACAAAATGCAAATACTTATTTACTGTTAAGATACGCGATGACGTTGCAGGAGTTCTACAGATGTTCGTACGGATTTCAGACAGAATTTTCCTTTGGTAAAAAACTTGGCGAAATCATGAATGAATTAGTTGATATTTTTACGCTGTACCTAATACCTTTTATGAGCGAAGTTTTGCAGTACTTTCTAAATTATGTTTTCGATACGAACTGTCGACAGGCTACAAAGAATGTAATACAAGGTCTTATAAGCGCTGATAACATGTATTCTTCTTTTATGGCCATAACGATATTATCGGCACAGAAACGCGGAAACGATCGTTTTATGGGAGTGTTAAACGAAAGATTTTTATCTTACTCTGCTTCTTCAATCGTATTCAATCATTGTCGGAACAGTATAAACTTTATTGATGTTGATTTTGATGAATTCGGCGGCCAATGATTTACATTAACTTATATTTCGTGACAAGTGTATCTTACATTCGTATGCGCTTCGCAATAGTATTCTGCAACGATAATTACTAATGATACCTTTTTATGTAATATGCATGATTTAATTGTAAACGTAAATGTATTTTAATTGTAGACGTAAATGTATTTTATATTATTTAGCCGCATGTTTTTCCTCGGAAATCAAAATTATCATTCAATTTTTTTTCTCGTCCAAATTTTTTGTACAGCATATTTATTAAAAGTTGCAATAAGTGCTTAAATATTTTCTAGAAGTGTACGTAAATGTACGTAATGTTTTTAATTATACATTTTTAATTGTTTATTATTAATACGCATTTAAATAAATTGCATAAATAATGAATGTCTGTTTTGCGACAATACCCTTTCTATAATTTAATCCACTAATATCTTTTTTTTTTAATTTTCTCTAAACGTTTAATTTGAGAAATTTGTGTAAAACTGTAGGAAGTAATAAGAATATTCTTATATGTATGTTCTTGAAATTTCGAGGCAAGCGAACGCGTGATGTTTATGTCCTTGGGTTAACGTCGACGTGAATAATATCAATCGGGCCAGGACACTAAGCATATCAGCTGATACTTGGACGGATATAGAAAACGAAGAGAATAACGTTATACAATTTTCTTACAAATTAAATCTTGTATTTTGCAAGACAAAATGTAGATTGCTGGAATTCTTAGAGAAATAAACTAATACTAATATTTTTTCTATATAATAAAATCATCAAATTATTTCTATATATAAAATCCTAAAAGAATAATTAAAATTAAAATTTGATAGTATCATGAAATAAACGAGAAATTAAATGTGATGCTCAATGATTATTGGCCTGTTTTAATATTGTGATTGCTTAGAACCGATGTACTCTTTACTTCAGCATCTATATTTATGCAGAATTAAAATTTTTTCTTCAATGAACTATATAAATTAAGTCTTATTCGTTTTAAATATAGATTATGCTATATGCCTATATTCGTCGTATACATACGATGCTTCCGCCAAAGTCGTGACAATAGCTTCTCTCAGGAAATTTAAATTTTACAGGTAGTCTTGACACGCAAGCGACATTATGCATGCTGGCCGTACACACTGGGTTTTTCTGTCAAATGTCCACCTCACGTTTGCAAATTGCAAAATTCAATTCGGACCTACTCTCCGTTGCCTGTTATCTGCACGCGAATACATTTTATGATGAATATTTCGCAGCTTATGCATTTATATTTTGTCATGTCTCTCTTAGTATTATTCAGTGATTATATTTTATCTTGAACATTTCAGACACCATCAAAACGAGATTTTAAAGACGTTTGCCCGTCTTTACGTGATCGGAATGTAAACGTCGAAATTTCAAAGATATAATACATTTGCACAACTTCCGAAGTATCACTACGCGATTATACAATTATATTTTTAGAATTTGCCCAGCTTTTTATTATAATTTCTTGGAAAACGCAAGATTTTTTTAAAGCAAAATTTACATTTTTGTCATGGAAACCGAAATGTTTTACTTTATATGCAAACATAAAATTTAAGATTATATAACGTATAATTTGTAAAGAAATATACTAGAATATAATAATGTTTATTATCCAGTATAGATTTTTCACTAAATTTTAACATAACTTTCTAATTAATTTTTTAAAAATAAATTTTTAGAAGCAATTTTAGTTACACATAATTCGAGTTTAATTTTTCTCTGAGGAAAAGATATGGCAAAATAATAACAATAGAGCTAAAAAATAAAGAAAATCTAGAAATTTTTGTTAATTAATAAGTACTGTCTTTTATGTTAATTCCGTAAGATTGATTCAAGAAAATAAGTTCGTAGTAAATGCATGGAGTTTGTACGTACAAAAAAAGGATTCGCGTTGATTCCGTTGAAATTGTGAGAATGTTTTACGTAGTGTTTCTTCTTAAGACTTCTTTCTTGCGAATTTCTCAAGAAAGCCAAGAGAAGTGAGAGTATTATCTCTTGGGAAATTTAATTCTCTGGGCAAGCGATAATAAAATTTAGTTAAAGAGTTGATTTTACTTCTTATTCTTTCATGAAATTCACTGAAATGGACGTTTATGCTGCGATTTGTAATTTAAATAATTATAGACAAATAAAAGAGATGCATTTTGTTTTACATTTTATAATTAATCGAAAATATCAAAAATAAAAATTTTGCAATATCTTTTTATTTGGAAACTTTAGTTTGAGTTAAATCTTTAAAAACTTCTATTACACCGAATATCTCGTTTGTCTATATGCCATATTTAATAAATTATAATATCATTTATGAGACATGACAAACAAATAATTTTTGAATGTCCGAATCAAATGTAAAGATAGCATTTTTTATAAAAAATTACTGAAAGCTGTGGTATCACGATAAGCTAAATATCCTACACGTCAATGTACAAGTCAAATGTAAATAAAGATAATATTTTGTAGTGGTAACGAAACAATTAACGACGTCCAGTCAGGCATGAAAAAGACTATGGCAAAAAACTGCAGTTGCTTTTTACGGGCGATCATTTTCTGGGTATCGATCCGAGAGGGGGCAAAAGTGTGCTAGAGTAGTTTTCTTGGACGTTGTTTTACACGGCGCATCGCCGGCTGTTAATCTTGCCAATTAACGGTCTTCAAATGACATAAAAACTAGCGGCGGCGACAAAGTAAAAGCGACGCGTAAAAAGGAAGGTAACTTAAAACTTGAAGTAAAACGGAGGAAAATTGGAGGAATTAATGGCGTATACCCGCGTCCGTTATAACCATCAAATAATTATACTCGTAATTTCGCGATATCCTACTTTAATCTTTAGAAAAATATTCTCGTTCAAAAATTTGTCAAGTTAGTTTTTATTACGATTTTTACGATTTTTAGTCTTAAAAGAAAGTGATTCTTTAACAGAAATTGAGAAGTTTAATGAATTTAGTTTCAACAACATGAATCAGTCATAATTTTGCTTTTGAACAAATATTAGATGAGATTAATTTAAAAAAAATATGTTGGGAAACATCTTCCTAAAAAACATTTCAGAAAAATTTATATTGATAAAAGACAGTAGCACAAATAATTGGGGGAAAATTTATGCAGAAATTGTGAATGAAAAATACTCATGAAAACGATGAATAAGATATAAAATAAAAATAAAATTAAAATAATGGTTTTAGCGACGAAAGAATTGAGACAAAAATTGACACAAGACGCGCGTCAATGTATCGGCAAACTTTTTCATTTTCCGAGCAAAAAGAGCTGATTCTGATGAATTAGAATCGAACGGGTTATGAAGATTATCCGAGTGAAGTGCAGGACGATACTGTTTGAGTAAATTGCAAAAAGATTGTGGCAGAGATTGGGAAGATTCTCTGCTGCATGCAAACGTCGCGTTACTTATCTCGATTTCTCCTCCTCTTCTTTTTTTTGGATGATTCGGCAAGAACTGCCGAATTAAGCTCGGCGTAATCGGGGTAACAGAAGCGCGTGCTAATTAAGATATAACATTGACTAATGGCCGCTAATTCTAACGCGCATTAATGAAATATAATTCACCTCGCGGCAGGCTATATTACGTTGTAGTCAGTTTATACGCGGCATACTTACTTTCAGAAACGTGCCGGGTGATTTAAGTGCCTGCCGCTAACGAGGACAGCTACCACGCCGGAATATAAGCGTGTCCGACGTGATTTTTAACTGTTATTAATGTCGCGGCAGTTCCCCCGGTCAGATTTTGCCGTTAGACGCGAAAAAAGTGACTCGTCCCTTCTAGATTGATTTGCATTTGAGTTTGCATCGAGTTGCGAGTTAACGCTTTGTGCGAAATTGTGGAATAATTTCTGCAATCGAGCCTCACGAAGCAGCATTTCTCATAGAATGTTTGCTAATGGAATGTTGTTCAAGTTTTTTTATGGTTAATTTTCCTTAATAAAAAAGATCAATGTTTCGAGTTATCAAAAATTGCAGATATTAACAATTTTATAAAAATAATTTTTAAAAATAAAAAATAAGAAATTTATTTTTACCTACATAACTCCACCAACATTTACCTAACCTAACTCTATTTAATGAAATTTCAACGAAGTTTTGGTCTGTTAAATTATTATTGTTAAAACATTCTTGCTTGAATTGTGCAACCGGTCGTTTCAAGCACCGCTGTTTATTATAACTTCTCAGTTATGTTATAATAATATTTATGCAATAACTTTATTCGTCTAGTCCTTAATAGGCTGAAGAGTGCATTAGATTACAAACATCGTTGCACGTCAATTTACAGTGTTATATAGGGAGAGTCTATTTGGCCCTTTTCGCCTTCCGCTCCGACGAAAACCTGCGGTTCTGCACCACAAAGTTTACCTTGCCGTCTTGGCTTTTTCTCTTGGCAAGCAAAAAAAATGAAGGTAGCAAAGAATCTTGGAAAGTTCCGACGGCAGAAGAGAGGACGGTCCGGGAAGTGCTTTCGGCGTATAGAAACGAGAAAAATCATGAGAAGCGTGCGCGGACAGCGCGGCGCATTTCAAGGGATTTTCGGGTTAAAGTCACCGTGCACGCCGAAATCCCGGTTAGAGCAAACGAAATTAGAAGCACGATGAACTGGTCCTTTGCGAAAACCTAGCTGGGAAGGAGCGGCTGAGATGAGCCCTGTTAAAATCCGGCAAATTTCGCGAAAACGTTGGACGCTCCGTCGAACATGAAAGCACGACCTCCATACGCTGCTTTCTCTCGTAAAGCGAATTAACAGTCAACGAATCGTTTATCAACGCAAGATGTGCATGATACGGAAAATGAGTACAGGTTAATTTTCATACGACCATTGAAATAGTCGTACGATCATTAAAAGTTAATTGTTGAGCTTGAGCTCAATGTTAATTTCAGAAATTAATATATTTTTTGCGTAATGTAGGAAAAAATTACAGATAATTAAAAAATTGTTAATTTACGTGTGGAAAAACTGATTTGCTCTACAGAGAATTCAATTTTTGTG